GGGTGCGGTCAAGGGATGGCTCCCTATTGGTCAACCATGTTATGTATCAATCTAGATTTGAAGTTTTCGTGACTGCAGCGATCCATACTCTTTGGTTCTTTCGGTATAGTCACGTAGGTATAAAATAAAATCAATTAAATCACGACGTTCGGGTGCAACACAAGTGTCCGTCATCAGGTGGACAACCACAGCAAGAAACAATTGCTGAAGTGGGCAAAACGGGTGCTTGTATCGAGAGGCATATAGGTAAGGGAGGGGGGCGGAGCCAGGGAGGAGAGATAGAGAGGGTGGGGGTGTGGGGTAGGGGAATGGAGCGCTGCATGCTCCGACACGAGCATGACAAAATGCCGGGGCTGGGAAGTGAGCGGGGCTGGGAAGTGAGCGGGGCTGGGGGTAGGAAGCTGAAGAAAACTGGAGATGCGGATATGAAGGCAAACTATAAAGCAGTTAAGGTTTTACCGGGTTAATAACATCCTTCCAATGATTGAGCTCAATCATTGAGCTCCATCATTGAGCTCAATCATTGAGCTGGCTAAAACCTTAACTGCTTTATAGTTTGCCTTCATATCCGCATCTCCAGTTTCTTCAACCTTCTACCCCCCAGGCCCGCTCACTGCCCAGCCCCGGCATTGTATCGTACTTGCGGTGCAAGTTGCAGAGCTCCACTCCCCCTACCCCACACCCCCACCCTCTCTCTCTCTCCTCCCTGGCTCCTCCCCTCTCTCTTGCCTTATATAGCCTCTTGTCAAAAGCAGCTATTTGCCCACTACAGCAATTTGTTTCTTGCTGTGGCTGTTCCACCTGATGACGGACGCTTGTATTGCACCCGAAACGTCGTGATTTTATTTATTTATTTTATTTTATACCTACGTGACTTTACCAAAAGAACCAAAGAGCATGTTAAGTATGCCGATGATCTGGTAATTGCTGCTCAGAAGAGGAGGCGCTGTTGCTGAACCTGGAGTGTACCACGAAGAGGTGGGTCCTTAACATCAACCCAACCAAAACTAAGCACCTGCCTGGGCATTTTGTACCATTTGACACTCCAATTGGTGATGGGGCAGTTGTGGAGAGAGTGGAGAGTTTCCCATAGCTGGGAACTGTGGGCAGTATGCTCATGACCAGCTCCAGTTTGACAGTAGAGATCTCACTCCGAATCAGTCGAGCGGCATTATATTTTCAACGGTTGTGTAACGCTGTGAGGAAACTACCTGGTCTGTCGCTCCACACGAAGCTTCAGGTCTTCTCGGCCAGTCATTCCATCCCTTCTCTACGCTTGCGAAACGTGGACCCCCCCTAATGGAACATCTTCGCCGGTTAGAAACATTTAGGCTGGCCTGCCTACGATCCATCCTGGGTTTAACCAGGCTGGATTGTGCGAGGACAAGGCCGTAGCCATGGAGTCAATATTGGGGGGGACCAAATCTTCCTGGGGGTCTGGGGGTCCCAACCCAGAAAAAAAATCTAAGTTTGAAAACTCATTTCCTGCCTAAAATATTAAAAAATTCACTAACACATGGGATGGACTTTTCATTTCTTTTCTACAACAATGTCTAATCGTGTATTGTATTACATTGCTCTGTTTTTACTTTTTTTACCATTTCTTGTTTTATTTTATGTAATGGCAGAGATTAGGGATTAATAAATTACAACCATAACCACAATCATATAAACATAAATCTATGCATTTGTAGGGGTGTCAGGGTAAGGATCCCCACCAAGAGACGGGTTAGTGGGACGGTGACAGAAGGGGGAGGGGTAATCGAGGAGATATAAGGGGAGAACTGGTGGGAAGAGGGGGCCTTTTGGCGGGAACGAGATTGAGATGGCTGGAGACAGGTGTGGATGGGAAAAGAAGAATAAAGGACAAACCCCCTGCAACCCTTGTCGGCTCTCCTTTACACATTGATTAAAATGAAGTCCAGATATTGTGGCCAAAGTTTAGCAAATTGTTGTTTTATTTACATAGCATAGCAATTATTTTTATAGCAATATATTGGGAGGGACATTTTGATCATATTTGAATATTGGGGGGGATGTGTGTCCCCCAATATATATTATAATTACGGCCTTGTGCGAGGAGCTCACAAATCCTTGAAAGATCTGAGCTCCTCCGGCAGGCAAGGCTGCGTTGGCTGGGTCATGTAGCACGCATACCCAGCCACCGCATGCCTACTAAACTCCTTAAAAATATGTTTAAACAACGGTTTTAATTTAAAGTTCACTAATAAGCAAAGAACTCGATTGGACAACGGGAAGTGGACGACATCTTGATTACACGAGACACGTGGCGCGCCTGCTTCTTAGGCGAGGCGATTCCAGAGTTTAGGGACCGCGGCGTTTTTGAACTACCCAAATAAATATGTAATTAATAAGCCGTCCATACAAAATGTTAATTGCTTTAAAGTAGCGAATTGATTAATTGATGCCGATTTTGATACAGGCATGCATTGTCACCGGATCCGAGTACGTGTGCAAAATGTGGAATTGATTTGACAATGGGAAGTGGGCGAAATTTTGATGACAAGATTTGACCCAGACAGAGAAATCAAGTTAAGTGAAATAATTAATATTTAAAAATACTTTTTTTAAACACGCTTTAAAGAAATGTACCCGACTCGTAATGACAGAACTCCACGACTCCAGGAAGTGGCCCCGAAGCTTGCCATAACGTAAGGGGCCGTGGTGATTTACAGCCAACGTGAGTTGGGCGTGGACAATTAGAGCCAAGCCGAAACATAACATAAATAAATGAATGTTTAAAAATACTTTTTTTCATTTTTTTATGATAGAATATAGTATTGCCATCAGTATGACATAAGTATACCAAGTTTTCAGTCGATACCACATTGGGAGGTGTGTTAAAATTTAGTTACAAGATTTGGGGATACAACAGATGGTGATATTCTTAGCTCTTTCGGTAAAGTCACGTTGAAGGGTAACAATAAAATAATAAAAAATATATAAAACAATAAAAATTCTCACGACGTTTCGACCATAACACAAACGGTCGTCATCAGGTGTGAAAAAACCAACGGCAAGAAACATTTGAAAGAAGGGCGGTTTGCATTAATTTATTTATTTTAAAACGTTGTATTTATTTATAAAAACACATCAGCGCCACACGCAGCGATTTGGCAGTTTATTTAGAAGGACGAGTCCATCTATGTTCTGAAAAGAGGAGGGGGGAGACGAAAAATTAATGTATGCTGTCTGAAAGCCACCGTAAGCGTGAACAATCAATTAAGACCTGAAATGGTTTATCAAATCTTTCCAATGATTGCAAAGCCAGAATCCAATCTTCTCGTTGAAATTGTCTCTGTGCTTGTATATGTGGATAGCCTTATTAACGAATCTCTCATGGTAGCCAGATGGCTTACAAAGAACCTCTGTCTTGGAAAAGTCAATGTCATGTGAGCCTACTGAATTATAACAATGATCTGCCACGGCCGAGGTGTTGGTCCTACCGTGTTTAAGGTCTGCTTTGTGTTCACGAATGCGGTCCGAGACATGGTAGGACCAACACCTCGGCCGTGGCAGATCATTGTTATAATTCAGTAGGCTCACATGACATTGACTTTTCCAAGACAGAGGTTCTTTGTAAGCCATCTGGCTACCATGAGAGATTCGTTCATGAGGTTATCCACATATACAAGTACAGAGACAATTTCAACCGAGAAGATGGATTCTGGCTTAGCAATCATTGGAAGGATTTAATATACCATTTCAGGTCTTAATTTATTGTTCACGCTTACGATGGGCTTTCAGACAGCATACATTAATTTTTCGTCTCCCCCCTCCTCTTTTCAGAACATAGATGGACTCGTCCTTCTAAACAAACTGCCAAATCGCTGCCCGTGGCGCTAACGTTTTTTTATAAATAAGTAAAGACACCGTTTAAAAATAAATAAATAGATGCAAACCGCCACTTCTTTCAAATGTTTCTTGCCGTTTGGTTTTTTTCACACCTGATGATGACCGTTTGTGTTATGGTCGAAACGTCGTGAGAATTTTAATTGTTTTATATATTTTATTATTTTATTGTTTCCCCTTCAACGTGACTTTACCGAAAGAGCTAAGAATATGAATTACTGCAGTCACGAAAGCTTTAAATCAAAATTTAACAGACGGTGAATTAAATAGAAGCGTTGTAAAAAATAATAAACATCTTTTGTTCGGCCGGATTGAGGGGGCTAAACGGGCGCGGCACGGGCTAGAGAAGAGATGGAGTGATGTGGTACAGGAGGCACGGGCTAAAGAAGAGATGGAGTGATGTGGTACAGGATGGCACGGGGCTAGCGAAGAGATGGAGTGATGTGGTACAGGAGGACGCGGAGCTGAGTGGACTTGCCGATGACTGGTACCAGCGGTGTCAAGATCGGCCTCTGTGGAGGCGGCTCGTGAAGGACGCTACTGGCAGGCAGTTGGAGGTAGTCGCCCTCCAACAACAACGGAGGGCGGAGGAGCGACGCTCACAACAACGAGCGGAGCGCCGGGTGGCTAAAGCACAGCAGGTTGGCACAGTAGGGGGCACAGGTGGTGCATCAGCCCAGTCATCTCAGTCAGTCGACCCGTGGCACCTGCTGGGTCTGCCCCGTGACCTCCTGCCAGCGGGCGTTCGACACTCCACGTGGCCTCAGGGTGCACATAGCCTGGCACAAGCGTCGTAGTGACGTCACGGCCACTTCGTGCCGAATGGCGGTTGTTGTTGTTGTGTTGGGGGGCTCGGCGTGTGTGTGGGGGGGGGGCTGTGTGTGTGGGGGGGGGGGACTCGGTGTGTGTGGAGCTCGGCGTGCGTGTGTGGGGGGGGGCTCAGCGTGTGTGTGTGGGGGCTCAGCGTGTGTGTGTGGGGGCTCAGCGTGTGTGTGTGTGTGTGGGGGTGGGGCTCAGCGTGTGTGTGTGTGGGGGGCTCAGCGTGTGGTGTGTGTGGGGGGGGGGGGCTCAGCGTGTGTGTGTGGGGGGGCTCGCGGTGTGTGTGTGTGTGTGTGCCCCCCACTCACTGCCCGCTCGCCTCCAGGGCCCCCGACTCCGGAGTCGGGGACTCTGCGGGTCAGCAGAACCCTCCAGGGCGGCGACTCCGCTCCGCGGGTCCCGTCAGCGGCGGCGCTGGCCATTGCGAGGAGCCTCGACGCAGCGGGTCGCACGCCTCGACGCAGCAGCAGAGGCGGCAGCGGTAGTAGACGCGGCAGCGGTAGTAGATGCAGCAGCAGCAGCGGCGACGTTACAGACATCCGCCGTGGAGTCTCCCCCTCCGCCTCCTCCCTGCACGCCGCCAACAGCAGCAGCGAGAGAGCGGCAGTGAGAAGCGTGCGCGGGACGAACGTGCGACTCAATTCAACAACGCCAAACACCAAAAAGCAGTTCTGTGGGTACGTGTAATGAGTAGTGCAATTATAATTTGCCGATGGCAACGGTAGATATTCGTCATGAATAAGCATTCTAGTATAGCCGCTGCCAAAACGTGGTACCTTTTAATTTAAATGACGGATTTTATAAACGCGAAACAATACATGAGCCGCGGCGCTTGCCGTAGTCGGCTCTACAGGTCGCCTCGATGGACAAGAAACGCGAAGATGTAAAACGCGTTTTGTTAATGCGCAGGCGCGCGTTGTCACCCACGTGGACATCCACATGGGTTGTCCACGTGAGCACCCACGTGGACACCCACGTTGACGTCCACGTGGACCTCAGTGGGGTCACCCACGTCTCTCACTGTGGTCCGCACCTCGGCTGAGAAAGGATATAAGGCGAACCTCTGGAGAGGTCCAGGCAGTTTAAAAACCGAAGCAGTTGGAAACCGGAGCAGTTGAAGATACCGGTTGAAGAAGAAGACCCTGCTAGAGTAGGACTCTGAACCCCTAGCTTCGCCGTCCTTTTAAGGGCCGAAGTTCTGTGAGGTCAGTGTTGGACCTGTACCTTGGCTGGGTCAGGTAGTCTCACATAGTATTATAGCCGGAGGACCTGGAGCGTAGTCGGGTTAGGCACGCTACACAGGAGGCGTATAATATACCAAGTGAAGAGGTCCTCAAGATGAACTGCATGAAGAATTGATGTATAATTGGTTAGGGTACTTGTGGATAATAAAGACGTGCCCCCCCTACGAAGTGTCTCCGGAGCAACACTACACCTGTATATAATCCCGGTCGTCTCAAGAGCTCCTCACTTGGTACAGCTATTCTGCTATGACTGTTCCACCTGAAGACGGAAGCTTGTGTTGCCTCCGAAACGTCGTAAGAACGTTACAAAAACAAACAATACAATGATAGGCGTGCAAAGTACAAGGGTAAACAAATCACTCAAACACATACAAATACAACGAAACCATCCCCATCCCACCCAGAAAAAGCCCACCGACTTGTGGATAGTGAATCACGGCTAATTGTTTAGATTCCGCTCAGTCAATCCGGCGCCCAGGTCAAAGTCGATTGGACAGCCATCTTTAAGATGTCCGATTTCGATCATAAATGAAATTCCACGGTTCACAGGGTGCATACAAGACAGTATTTTTGTCCGATTTTATTATATGGAGATCTGTGAACCGCAAAATATTGATTCAAGATAAAATCGGACATTTTCAACTTTGAACTGGGCGCCGGATCGACTGATCGGAATTGATACAATTACAGTTAACTTCGAGTCACGATCCGCAACGACTAGATGTGGGGGACATGTGGTCGGTGATTTGGTCGGGTGTGCGATTGTGTAGCTCCATTGCAGCGCCACGTGGACTCGAGGGAACACGTTTCATGACCTCGCTTTAAAAGCAACAACCCGCTAACACATCCTCCGAAAGTTGTGACATTTTGACCGTTGTCCGCATGAAGTTCTCGCATACCTGTCAACCCCTTATCAGTGCTCTACCTTATTACATACCAATTCAGATGTTCATCCTACAAAGTACCATCACAAGGGAGAAACACGGCTGTAGACTGTATGGACCTAAAAACTCAATTTCCCTGTACAAGAATACGGGTGTAATAAGCGAGCGCCATCTCCTGCATTATTGTGGGGTTACGTTTACATACTGTCATGCAGTCCACGCACTATCAGTAGTATGGATTCTATCTGGGGGAAAGGTTAATGGGCGGATCTAGTATGGAAACCTCTGGAACATTCCCGAAGGTTCCTAGAGGGGCGTGGCTAGAGGCGGGGCTTAGCCTCGGAGAAGGGAATATAAGCAGGGGGTACAGCAACGTTAGGGGTCGGTGTTTGAAGATCGAAGAGGAGCTCTCCACCACTGCTGCACCGCCAACTCCACCTGCCACGTGGCGGCTCGACCTCAAGCTGCTCCCCGGCGCGCCATCAGCCGGCGGTGCGGTGGAGAGCGGGCAGAGCGCCACATGGCACGGGGCAGCGCGCCACATGGCACGGGGCAGCGCAACCACGAGAACGGGTTGGCATCCGCGGAACGAGAGGAGTGGCTGTACCGAAGTCTAAATAAAGTTCCTGAAGTACTTACCGTGTCGGAGACACTTATTACACGGGTAAACCGTATGGGTTGACACGGCTTGTGCTCGTGCTGGTCGTGGCGGGTTGGTGGAGGCTTCTGTAAGGGTGCAGCAGCCAACACGATGATGCTCTGCCCACGTTATCTGTTGTCATAGGTCTTTACTTGGTCTTGGTTCTCACCTCTCTCTCGTGTCCGGCTGGATGAATTTTTTTTTTCCTCGGCAGCGGTGATTAATAACTCCGGCAAGGGCATTGCTTAAAATCTGGACTCGACAGAACACCACACTTCGCGCTCGACAGAGGCAACCCGAATGACGACTGATGGTGATGCCCTTCATATACCTTGGCATGTTTGGCCGATTCCACAAATGGCTTCGTGCTGGAGGAAACCAAAAACAACCCCGGAGAAAACCCAGCGGCGCACACACAGGCATGTAGGAATCAAAGCTCCGCACAGGTAGAGGCAAGAATCCATTGTTCTACTATCATTTCTAGGCCACATTGCAGCCAAACCCTGTAACCCTTGCTAATCCCAGGAAGTATACTCATGTCGTGACTTGTAACGTCACTACCGTGTGGATCTGTACACACACATTGTGGGAATGACGTCACGGCCGAGCCGAGTAGCCTGGAGGCCATCAGTCAGTGCCACGGGGGTTGTGTAAGGCCGTGGCACTCTGTATGAACCCGTCCGGATACGTGACCATATCAAGGTGGGGGCCAGGGGCCCCGGGGGGACCTTGGAGGCCACGTGGCCAGAAGCAGAGCCTTCTCAAGGGTTCTCGAAGGTGGACGTTGCCTGGGTGTGGCCTGGCCACGCCGAGGCGCATATAAGCGGGCTCTGCACCTGGTGCGGGGCTGCTCGGGTCCAGGATGAAGATGCCTCGTGAAGAGTGAAGTTAAGCCTCAAGTCAGCGTGGCCAAGCAGTAGCACACCTCCTGGCTTGGCCACGCCAGTCATTATCAGAGTGTCAGTGTTGGCGAGAATAGGTCGGTGGTCACCACCCTAGTTGTTGCCTTCCTATAACAGCGTGTGCGCCTCTCTGGAAACCATTTCACTCATAACTAGAGTAATTAGCAGACACATGCATTTTTGACATGGAAGAATTTATGGAACGTTTCATTAAAAAAACAGTAACAGATTATGTGACTGCCATGAGCATTTTTGATTCAAGATGCACACGATGCCCTGGGTGAGAAAGACAGCCCTGTCTGACCTTCGCACAGCAAAATATCAAAAGACGAGCTTTAAATAAAAATAATTTTAAAACTCCACGCGAAGGCTCGTTGCTGAAGTTGTAACGCACGTGCTTAAGCGCCACTGCGGAACAAAAATTTACAAGCGAACCCCCCCGCCCACGGATAAATAAATAGAGTTAAACACACAACACCCGGGACGGCAATGGCCGTGGCCCAGCGGTGGTGCCGTCGAACCTCCATCGCAGCGGTTCGAGGCGAGCGGCCGTCCTGGTTAACACTGCAGCATGCGTTCTTGAATGCTACGCGCTGCCCGCTTCACACTTGATTTTTAAGATCCCGCGATGTCATTCATAACAGAGTGGGAGGCCACGCGTGCCGGTCGTCGCCATCCAAATTTGCCGAATTGTGAATATTACGTTCACTTTAAATTGGGCAAAACTCACATCGCAATGTCCCTCCCTGCTGACGGACTCTACTCGTCTGCGAGAAGGCACATCACCATAGCCTTTGCACTATAAAAATGGCGCAAATATAAATTAACTACATTTAATAATTATGAACCTAAGCCATTGTAGGGGTACACCACAATCATTCAAGGAAGATGTGATCAAAACAGCTCCCGTGTCGGACCCCAAACCAAGCGGAAGACTCTCCGCAACTCTCACCAGACGGACGAGCGCGTACGGGGCCAGGGAAAAGAACGAGAGCCGTAGTGAACCAGGGCGGTGAGCGGGCTTGCATGCGGCGCGGGTGATGTCACTGTGAGAGTTTCTACAGGTGAGAGTGTCTACGGCTGACAGTGTCTACAGGTGAGTCTACTGCATGGCCCCAGGTGGTGTGGCCCCAGCTGGAATGGCCTGGGTGTGGGTGGCCAACCTGGGGGTGGCACCAGGGTGGGGGTGGCACCCGAGTGGGGGTGGCCCTGGGTGGGGTTGGCTCAGCTGGGGGTGTTCCCGGGTAGCTCGGGGTAGCAGGCCGCCCGGGTGACTAGAGGTGGCAGGCCGCCTTGGCCACCTCCTCGAGGCGCGTGGCGGCTCCTAGGTCTCCGCTGATGCGGAGTCGACCGCTCATGTAAGCGGTGAGCGGACGCAGCTCCCCGCTTATTACGGCCACCAGGTCGCGCTCCGTCATCTCCAGCACCGTGTCGGGAGGCTGGGCCGCCGCAGGGGGGGGCCCTCGTCCCACGACCCCCGATCCTGGCACCGAGCGAGGTGAACAAAGGCCGTAAAGCCACAGATCGTGCCGGACTCGACTCGACATAAAAACGATAAAGATCCCCCATGTAGCCCGTGCAAGCTGTTGGGGCAAGTGCTGTTAGCGAGCACCTATGAAGGCTAACGCGGTGCAAGAGAGGGTGGGTGGCCGGCATCACGCCCGGCCGTATTTGTCTCCCGAGTGGCAATGTTCATACGCCGCACCAGGTACTCATTTAAGGCTGAGTCGACCTATGGGAGGCCCAGTACCAGGTTTCAGATAATCGTCACTGGGTTTTGTAGTGCTGGCGTATTAACCACTGCGCCACCGCTCCCCCACCACACAACTCTGGAGTGAGTGAAATTCGGGACGAAGCTGGAATGGCTATCCGCACGCCGATGGTGCGTGTGAAGGACTTCTCACGACCAACAATCTCGTTGGCCAATTTGTCTGAGAATTGTTCCTCAACTCGCCTATGTGAGCTGCCCAAACGAGAATGGGCGGCGCGTCGTTTAAACGTTTGCCCACGCGGCGCTTTACTTAGTTTGGCTGCGCCGGGTGGTGGAGGTCCTTCACGGACACAACCTTGGTCGGACTCCCCTTGTCGCGCGACCTACAAATCAATTATGAATGAAACCACCTGGCGCCAACGAACGCGCCGCTCTCACCGGTCTTGAGGTCCAGGTGGTAGGTCCGGCAGGAGCCGTCACGACACTGCACGTCGCGAAGCGGTAGACGGCGCCCACCCTCTCCACCAGCGACTCGCACAGGAGGGGCCCGACGGCCGCCAGCAGCGCGTCGTCACCGTCGCCACCATCATCGCCCCCATCCCCTCCCTCCTGCATCGCGGACCTCGCCGCCTGCAGCGAGCATCCTGCGGCACAGGGGAGTGGGCAGCGTTCATGCCAGGGCCGGGCAGACCCGTCGCTCCCAACGCAACCCCGACGGCCACCATGCAACCCGGCCACCGTGCCGAGCCAAAAGCGTTCATTCCGGAACAGGACCCTCACGGCCGTAGACGCCCCGCAGCACTAAAGTTCCTCGTGCCGAGGACTGAAACCCCACCGGGTTCTCAGTTGTACCTGCCGATGCCCCAAACGCCTGGAATTGTAAAACATCCTTGGTTCATCTACCATCTGTCGACGAATCCCTCACCTGCAGTTGTATTTGACATCATACTCCCTTGTCACTTTGCATTCCAGAGCGATCCTCGGCAAAATCCCCGCCAAGTCTCCCCACAACTATTACCCGTTTAGTCCGGCTAAGATGCTCGTAGTGATGGATAGACGTCGCTCGGTGGTGGACTCGTGGTGGAACTCGTGTTGCCGCGGACCGTGTGGAATAAAGTTGCAGGCCGTGTCTGGGCCATGGGCCGCAGGTTCCCCAGCCTCGTCTGAATCTAAAGATGCCACCTACAGCCATCTTGAGATACAAACACAGAGAGCAGGCTTTTTAAGTTTACTGTTGGATACTACGTTACATTCCGCTTGTTTTACCCCAGGAGAGCCTCATCGAGTCCCAAAACTCCTTTTGGGGAGGGTTCTGCCAAGTTTTTAGCAGTAAGGGGTGATGTTGCTACTGCTCTGTGTAAACCCAATTAAGTAATTTGCAGGGACATTGTGTGGGGTTTTTTGTTTATGCAATGGGAGGAAACTGTGGAGCTGGGAAACCCGTGCATAACAGGGGGGGAGAACGAACAAACGCCTTACAGAAAGGCACCTGAGTCGGGAATCGAACGCAGGCACTTCTTGCTGCGAGGCACGAGCGGTATGATTTTCTGTGTACTTTTACTTTGCGATTATGGGCAGCGCTTGCCAAGAGAAAGAATCGAGCGACTCTGTTGCTCACCGGCGTCACGCCCTGCCGCCTGCCGGTCGCTCATCGCCATCACGCCGCCCAGGATCGTTTGCACCGGGCCGGCCAGCGCTCCCCACGCCTCGGGAGTGAGGCCCGGCACGCACGGCGGCAGGCAGCGGCGGCGGAGAGAGAGGCCGGTCGCGCCCAGGCGAGCACAGCACGGCCTCCAGCGCCAGCTCCACGCGTTCCACCTCCAGGCCCCACGGCTCCGTCACCTTGGTCACCTCCAGCTGCACCGCGACGTGCGGGCCGCACAGAGGGGGCGGGGCAGGTCAGCCGGAGTCGCGCGGAGACTCGGGCAGGACACGCATGAATTTCCCCTGCAACGCACCCGGCACACCACATCCAGTACCTCTCTTGCTATGGCTGTGGCTACTACTAGTTACTATCCTATTGTATATGTGTTGTATATACTTTTGTGTATACAATACAGGTTTTCCTCGCTTTAAGTGGGTTCGGTTTATGCGATTTCGCCCTGTGTATCCGGCTAACCTGTTTCTATCCAAAAGTTGCTTTGCTATGTGGCTATACGGTCGGAAGCTGGACGTGTGTGCTGTGTGTACTTACGTACTGTGTCTGTACTGCGTGTGTGTCTGTGTACTGTGTGCGCTACTCGGCAGGCAGCTCTCTCGAGCGTTCACTGGCTGTTGCAGAGGTTCGCGGTTCGAATCATGCAGACAGCCCTGGTTATTCCTGCGGGTGTATTAACTACAAAAATACGCGCCGTCTGTCTCACTGGATGTTATAGATCCCACGACACCAATCGAAACGAGGAGCCCAATTGTGTCGGAAGTCATGCTCAAAGAATTCAAACATTTAACCGAATTGGGATTGGAGGTGGCAATCATCGCCCCCTACCGGCAGACTAATGCCCGCTTGCAGCCCGTTGCCGAGTCACCTTGTGCCCCGTAGGCACAGCTGCCACTGGGGGTGCCCTTTCGTACGTGTCGACACGCCCTGGCATCACAGAGCTCGCCCGTCGCGACCGCGATCAGGACGAAGCCCCAACCCGGGCCGCGTCGTGCTCACGCCGCCGTCTCACCGCGAGCTCGTCTGGCCCATCTTGGCGCTCTCGCTCTGCAGCTCGTGCAGCGAGTGGCGGGGGCAAGCAGCGAGGCGAGCGCCGTGTGCGCCGCGCTGCGCGACGAGCGGTTCACGTCCTGCGCCGCGGTGAGCAGGAGCACGGGGCAGTGCACAGCGCACGCGCACGTCGGCGCCCCACCGACACCAGCGCGCCGTCCCGTGTCATCGCCTGCGCCGGGTCGTGCAGAGGGAGAGCGGAGAGGACGGCCTCAGAGGGGATGTGCGGTTGGCTCAGAGGGAAACCATCACAAAGTGAGCTTCGTGTTGGGTTTGTTAACCATGTGGGAAGTCAAGAGGACTAAGGGAGCCCCATTTGTAAGAGTGACTAACCTGGGTCACCAAATGACAAAAGCAATGATCACGTAAAATAAAGTACCAACTAGAAATATAAACAGGGCAAAAACAACCGTGTCAAAGAATACGTTGAAAGCAGCGCACAAACTTCAACAACATTAAATAAATCGGGTGGGAAACAAGAAATAATATCAAGCTGCGCTGTAGCACGCAACAGCGGTAAGGCCCGACGCCCATCCACACGCCTTGCGTGCGTGTCACGTGACCGCACATTGCCTGCCAAACCTCTATAACAACTGACAAGTCGTGCGACTCCGGCCCGCACCTAGCAACCGCATCAGCGACGGGCTTGGCCGAGCTGTCGTTCGGGCCCACCGCGGCGGCGGGGACGGGGACCGGGCGAGGGAGGGGGGGGGGGTGCGAGGAGCGACGCACCCTGCAGGGAGGAACGTTGAACGCGCGCTGGGCGCGTGTCCACGTCGGCGCCAGCGGTCGATGCAGGGCAGCACGAGCGCGACGCCGGGGGCCCCAGCGGGGCGCGCAGCCTCCCCAGGCGGAACACCCCGATGCGCTCGTGCTGCGGCACAATCTGCGGCCGGGGGGGGGAGGGGCGGCGGTCACGGGCAAGCGGCCGTTGCGGCTCGGCGGAGGCCCCCCCCCCCCCCCCGTGCGTTGGTGAGGCCTTCGTGGTTTTTGTAGCGAGGTCATCTCTCTCGCAACACAATTTGACTCTACAGTTGTGTTCGCATTGGATCGATTTACCAGTCACCGCGGGGCCCTTGTACAAAGAAACGGAAAGCCCAGAGGCACTGCGTCAACGCTTTCAAACTCAGCGGCACGTGTGTACATGTACAGCCCTTTTTGTCAATCAACTGTCGCATTGACCGCCTCCCTACGCGGCGCGATCATGGGGGTTATTCAACCAGACTTCACTACAATGGTCGTCACGGTGAGGTGCAAATAAGTGGGAGCATACGAGTAGAGTACAATGGAATTTTCTGCACCGTCCTCTGCCGTCCACAATGCCCGCAGCCCCCACGGCAACCTGTTTGCGCGTGGCGGTGACCCAGCGGAAGCGGTACCTTGAGGCAGAACCACACGGAGAGCGGGAAGGTGAGCACCATGAAGACGAACGTCAGGGACGTGATGACCAGCGAGCAGAACCACGACAGCCATGATTCGACGCCCTCGGCCTCATCTGAGCACAAGACATACGCAGCGTCCACGCACGCACACGGGACTCCGTGCCAGGAAGAGGTGCTCGCGTCGCGAGTGCGTGTACACGAGCGGTCCTGCTGTCAATCTGCTTCAGCACCGGGGCCTCCACTTGCCGTCCGGGTCACGGGGGTTGTTGAAGGGGCCCGAGTCCTGCTGTTGGTGGGGATTTATATCGAAAGTCACAATGACTTTTCTCGTGGAGGAAACTCCATGTGGATGTTTGGACAATATCACGAACCGTTGAGAGTTTTGGCTTCAAGCGGAAGAAGGCTAGATAGTCCGGAGAAAACCGAGCACCGTGCCGCTGTGTACACGAGGGGAGAGATCCGGCACTGACGTCTCCTGGCCACACCTGGCAGCCCCGCGCCTACAACACCTGGCAAGCCCTGGTGCTCGGATTCCTTTAAAAATGGTGGCCTCCCCACACATCAAAGGTATTAATATATAAAATGTGACGCTCTTTTTACACGTTTGCATTTCGCGCGAATTTTATATTCATTATTTTTTGCTAGCCGACCTGGTCCGGCTTAGTGTGAAAATCCGGCTATCCGGTGTTTCCCTGCAATACCGCAGTCGTAGTCCTGGTTGAGGCTGGTGCCCTTAGTGGAGTCCGGGCTGGTGTAGGTGAACACGGACTGGAAGGACAGCGGCTGGTACTTGGCACCGGCCATGACGCCTCGGGTCGCACCTCCGATTATCACGTTTGTTCTGCGTACGGTGCGAAAGAAGTTCAACATAGACACACACGCCGGGTCAACCGTCACGGGTCACGGGGCCTGTCCCTGCAGTGAGAGGAGACCCAGGCAGGACAAGTCAAGCCGTTATCGCCCAATGGATGCAATTGTTATTTCAAACCATCTGGCGATCTGGCTACTGCTGCAATGATAGTGGGTGCCGGAGCACAAAACAACAACGCCTCTCTCGGTTCATTTGTCAATAAAAAGAAAATCGTGATAGGCGACGTTTCGAGCCATGGCCCTTCTTTACAGCACATTGGAGAGAGAGGCCACAGCAGTTGTCAGCGTCCTGTCTCTTGACTCTACATTTTCTATGCGCTGCGTGAGTTTACACTTAGCACCCGCGCACAGGCAAAGCCAGTCCTCCCGTCAATCCACTGCTGGATGACGGTCTACCCACGCAGTTCGGGTTCCGCGAGGGGTTTGACAGACCATACTTCACCAGACCGCTCACTGCGCGGGTTCTTGAAGGCGCGGGAGCCATACAAGTGCAGGACAATACTGTAAGCTGCTGCCTGCTGCATCGCCCTCTGCTGGCCGCCACGTGGCAAAGTCTCGATGGAGCTCCGCGGCGAGTTCCCAGACGCGTACGCAGCCCCCATCAAACAACAACAGGAACCACCAAGAGACAGAGGCACACTCATTGCCCTACAGAGGCCGAGTTCAGTCATCTCTGCCTGCACCCGGCAGCTCTACAGATGGGCAACAGCGCAGTACAGATGGGCACGGCGTGGTACAGATATGTACATCGCGGTCGAGACGGCAACAGCGCAGTACAGATGGGCACGGCGTGGGCGCTCCTACCTGGAAAAGTAGGCCAAGTCAGCAGAGGCAGTGGTGGGGTGGGGGGTCTCTATAGTGGCCACTCGTGGAGGCCCTTCGCCAGCAGTGGCGGCGGGAGTGAGAAGTACTTGCAGGGCTGCGCCTTTGGCTTCCGTTCGCTTCCGCGTTGTCTGTGACGTCACGCCGCGGCCTCTCACCCTCGGGGGGCGGGGCGGTGTATTTAAGAGGCGGGGCGGAGATTCTAGCGGGCGGGGCGGCTTGAGAGCTTTGTTCGTTTTGATTTAAAGCTTTCGTGACTGCAGGGATTCATATTCTTGGTTCTTTCGGTAAAGTCACGTAGAAGGGAAACAATAAAATAATGAAAATATAAAACAATACAATTCTCACGACGTTTCGACTGCAACACAAGCAATCATCATCAGGTGTGAAAACCACAGCAAGAACATTTTGAAAAAAGTGGCGGTTTTTTTAACGTTAGCACCACGGAGAGCGATTTGAGAGTTTGTTCAGATGGACGAGTCCATCTATGTGGGAAAAGAGGAGGGGGGAGACGAAAAATAATGGATGCGGTCTGAAAGCCACCGTAAGCCGTGAACAATCAATTAAGACCCGAAATTGTTTATCAAATCCTTCCAACGATTGCTAAGCCAGAATCCATCTTCTCAGTTGAAATTGTCTCTGTGGTTTGTATATGTGGATAGCCTCATGAACGAATCTCTCATGGTAGCCAGATGACTTGCAAATAACCTCTGTCTTGGAGAAGTCAATGTCATGTGAGCCTACTGAATTATAACAATTATCTGCCACGGCCGAGGTGTTGGTCCTACCGTGTTTTAGGTCTGCTTTGTGTTCACGAATGCGGTCCGAGACATGGCGTTTTGGTTTCTCCAATGTAACTACTACCACAGAGGCAACTTAGTTTGTAGACACCGGGTACTGTATGTCCGGAATCACATCTTTTACAGACGGAACCAGATCACGGATTTTATGTAATGTGTTGAATCGGACCTGGATCTTGTGTTTATTCAAGATTTTGGAGATCTTTTTGTGATCCCCGCAATGTAGGGTAAAGTGATTGTTTTGAAAGGCTCCTCAAGAGGGTCCTTCATGATTGGAGTGATAGCTTTGCGGATTGTGTAGTTCGGAGTAACCATTAGCCTTAAGAGCTTGGTGTACGTGCTTGAGTTCACTGGCTATGTGTTCCTGGTCGGATATGCATTGGGCATATCGACCTTGATGAGGAATTCTTCTGGGATGGATGATTGGTGGGGAATCCGGTTTCAGGTAAGCATCCATATGGGTAGCTTTCCTGTAGACAGAGTGGCTCATTGAACCATCAGGTCTCTTTTTTATTAGGACATCCAAAAAAGGTAGCTTGCCATGTTTTTCGACTTCCATGGTAAATCTGATGGCTGGGTGTATGGAATTGATGTGGTCGAGGAATTGGTCTAGAGCAGGCCGGCCATGTGGACAGATGACCAAAAGTGGCATCAACGTACCTCTTCCATAAGGTTGGGCGCAGAGTGGCAGTCTGGATGGCGTTAGTCTCAAATTTCTCCATGAAAACGTTGGCTACAACCGGAGATAGGGGGGAGCCCATTGGGGTGCCCTCAGTTTGTTTGTAGAAAGTTCCATTCCAAGTGAAGTATGTATTGGTTAAGCAGTGTCTCACCAGGGGGGGTACCTCAGTGTGTTAGTCCTTGATGAACCAAGTCTTCAATGATTGCGATGGTGTATTAAAAATTTGGGATTTTAAGCTTTCGTGCCTGCGGGAATCATACTCTTTGGTTTTATTTCGGTAAAGTCTACCTACGTAAGTCTACCTACGTGACTTTACCGAAAGAATCAAAGAGTACAAAATGAATTGTACCAGGTAAGGCCCACTGAGCGATGGATCTCTTTCACAGAAGTGGCTCATCGTCACGTGGAAATGTCAATCGGCAGCCCAATGACTCGAAACGCGCGATGTCCATTCTCAGCGTGGAGGGGGAGAAAACCGGAGGACCCGGAGGGAAAAAAAATCCACGCGACCACGTGGAGAGAGACACGGCCGCAGAAGTGCGACTTCTGACCGTCAATGACCATTTTTGTATCGATGGTTCGCCATTTAGCAGGGCACTTTTAAATTAGATTGTAAACTGATATTCTTCAGAACACATATTGTGTTTAGTTTGTTGTGCTTCACCGGCACCTTCGATTAGCACGGTTGGCTACGTCCGGTGTGAAAGAAGTTCAACATGCATACATGACGATTCGATTTGAAATAAAACTATAAAAAAAATTTTACCAGGTAAGGTCCACTGAGCTCACTCTTTTTTCAGCCGCGATCTGGCGATCACAAAACGATCGCTTATCGCGTGTAAATTTCGAGCAGCCGAAGACTCTCAACGCGTGTTTATAAATGTGAAGGGGATAAACACACCGGAGGACCCGGAGAAAAATCTACGCGACCATGGAGAGAGAAGGAAAAGCACAAACTCCAAATATACAGCAGCAGGCGTCAGGGTTGGGATCGAACCCACACGACCTCCTGTACACCAGGCGAGGTAGTTAACATCTCTTATCCAGCGTGGTGATGATGAGAGAGACACGCAAACTCCAAACATACAGCAGGCGTCAGTCGGGATCGAACCACACCGACCTCCTGTGTACCGGGCAAGAGAGTTAGCATCTCGCCACAGTAGCTTAAATGTACACAAAACATTCAGGATTTATACATAATGTGTTTATATATATAAAACGTGTGTTTACGTCATTGTTGTGATTGTGTACTTGAAATATCTAACTTTTTTGTGCAGTAAGCTTCTGCACGTTGAGTAACCCGCATGAACGATCGCTGATTGGGGGCCACGTGGCGGTCAGCAGAGGGCCGGTGCAGCAGCAGCATTCAGAGTGAGACCCCCCGGAAACAAGACAAGACAAAGATTCCCCCGTGTAGCCTTCACACACTGTAGGGGCAAGTGCTGTTAGCGAGCACCCTATGAAGGCCGGCACGGCACACGATGGGGTGGGCCGGCAAGCACCACGCCCGGCCCGCCTTTGTCTCCCCAGGTGCGATGTTACACACGTCGCACCTGGTACTCATTTGAGGCTGAGTCGACCTAGGCGAGGCCAAAGGACCGGTTCGGATAATCGTCACTGGTGTTGGGGGCCGTCCATAAATGACGTCACGCGATTTTGGACAAATTTTTAACCGCCCCCCCCCCCATCGTCACACGGTGTCACAAAAGTCAGACCCCCCCGTTAAATATGACCGTCACAAAGCTCTGCCCCCCCCCTCCCAAAAATAAAACATGCTTCAAATCGCTTTAAACTGTTGTCATTGTAGTGCGTATTAATGTGGCGCTGCACTCTGATGTTGTAGGAGAAACATTTATTAAAAAGTCTATTAATTAAGGAGAACGTGTTGTCCTATATTTATTTAAAGTTGCGCATTTTGATGTGACGTCACATTTCTCAAACCCCCGCCCCCCCCCCTCGTCACATCGTCACACATCGTCACAAATGTCTAACCCCCCCCCCCCCCAGGTGCGTGACGTCATTTATGGACGGCCCCTTGGCCATGAGTGGGAATCGCAGCGCAGCGCGCTAACCACTCCCCAAGACCCCCATCACCCCCGCACTGACCGGCAGGGTGAAGTATGGTCGCATAACCCTCGCTACCCGCACGGCGTGGGGAGGGCCCTCGTCCACAAGTCCTCACCTCCGATTAGCACGGTTGGCTACGTAGGGGTGCGAAAGAAGTTCAACATGCACGTGTGTACGTACCAGTGGCGAGCGATATCTTAACCGACCCCTGCCCCTCCTTTCACGAACCCGCACTGACTTAGCGTGGTGAAGTATGGTCAAACAGCCCCCATGACTGACGCGGCATGGGAAGGAAGGCATTCATGCAAGCAGTGGATGGCTCAGGGCTGTATTACTCCATAGTAGAGGTTTCTTTGGGTTAGATTGCGTACATGTATAAATGTGTCGTTTAAACCCGCCACCACCCGACACAGCCAACAGAACGTGGGCAATTTGTCACTATTTCGATTTAAAGCTTTCGTGACTGCAATTATTCGTCTTCTTTGGTTCTTTCGGTAAAGTCACGTAGAATGAGAATAAAATAATAAATTGATAAGATAAAATAACACAATATGGCCGAAACGTCGTTGAGAATATTATGTGTTATTTTATTTTATCAATTTATTATTTTATTCTCATTCTACGTGGACTTTATCGACAGAACCAAATAAGAATTCGTCACTAGTACAGCACTAACCGCTGTGTTGGAGAGCCAAGCCACAACATTTACAAACTGAGCACGACGTTTCGCCAGTAATTACAACCAGCTTCATCAGGCGACAGCCACATTTGTGGAGTAGTCCACCTGTTTCGTTCCGTATATGAGGCGTAGATGTGGTGACCACGCTTCTGCGCTCTTGCGAAAAGTTGGCGAGGGGGGGGGTTACTGAGTCAACGTACATTATGTGCGTTATGCGTGCCCTTTGAACTTGTCCTTCCACCGGTGTGTTGGAGAGCCAAGCCACAACATTTACAAATGTAAATGACGACCCTTACTAGTTGGCTGTGTCGGGTAGTGGCGGGGTTTAACGACGCATTTATACATTAACCCAAAAAAAACTATTATGGATGATATTGGTCACGAAAGCCTACGTGTTAAACTGGTTGTATACCTTTTCATAATATTTGTATTAATCAATACAATAGCCACGTGAACTTTATCAACAAACTTTCGTATAAATGATTCCTTTCAAGGTTTATGTATTAGTAAGTCAAAGTACAATATATTTCTGTACAGTACTTTGCATTTATTTATTATTTATATTCCTGATGAGTGTTTTTTTTTATTGTGTGCTGACATGGTCATGAAGTCCATTTTCTAGATAAACGTCATCGATTACCCCCCCCCCCCTTCCCCAGTGTGGCAATGAAGGCGCTGACTGATGGTGACTGATGGGTGGATGGCTATCAGCACACATTGCTGATTACCGCCGGCCTGCGCTCACGTGGGCGTTGTTATTGTGACAGCTATGCAACGGGAGGCCCCCCCCACCACCACCACGTTGTATGGAGGACGTCGTCGAGTAAGTAAACACGCAAGGGGGTGGTGTAAAGTTCACCGCCGGCACCTACAGAGCGTGTGGGGATGGGGTGGGGGGGGAAGCACCCATGAAGACACACACGGTCATCAAACTTTAGCCCTCACCCTAACACCACGGTGGGGGGATGAAATGGGGTTTTCTGTCATTACCGAACAAGAAATACCGACAGAGGCCTACTACCTACTGCGTGGTCGCACTTGCAGAGAAATTCTTTGCTCGCGCAGTGAGCAGAACAACACACTAACACAGCTGTGTGGGTTGAGAAAGATGGCTGCTGTCCGTGTTGTTGTTGTTGATGGTTCGTGGCTCGCTGGACATCGTACAAAGTCGGACGGCTCGATTCCATCTCCCGGTGCGGGAGGTGCAAACGATGTGGAGCAAGTTCCAAACCGTGCACTCATTACGAACATTCCACCGGAATCGGTTACCGGTTCCCGGTATACGATTCTGAAAACAACAGGAATCCTAATCAGGGCAGTCAATCAGAATATAACCTAAATAGGCCACTTTATGGACTGTTTTGAAATGCGGTGTCGTTTAGAAGCAATCCAGAGAAACATTGTACAGTATAGACTAGCAGAGACTCACATACCAGTAGAGAACCATATACTCGCATAGAGTCCCAGTCTCACACAGAGACCCACAGACGCACACAGAGACACAATCAGTGACTCGCATTCCAGCAGTCAGTTGAGCCAAGACTGCTGAAATGATGCAACCCCAGAAGGCGATGGGATGTGTAATACAAATACTTTTATTTTTCACGAAGGGACTGATATGATGTGGAGGCGAATCGCCCGCTTAGTTATTTTGTCACATAAGGCAGTGCCATTGACGAATGTGTTGAACTTATGCCCGTGGTGCCGACTCTGTAGGTAACATGATGCCTGTGTACAGGGACTCCTCTACTTACGAACGTTAGACTTACAAACTTTCAGAGATACCAATGTCCAGTTGCCAAAAAAGATCCCCCGTATAGCCTTAACAGACTGTAGGGGCAAGTGCTGTTAGCGAGCACCTATGAAGGCCGGAACGGTACACAAGGGGGGTGGGTGGCCAGCACCACGCCTGACCACCTTTGTCTCCCCAGTGGCAATGTTTACACACTGCACCAGATACTCATTTGAGGCTGAGTCGACCTAGGGGAGGCCTAGGACCAGTTGCAAATAATCGTCACTGGTGTTGGCTGTGAGCGGGAATCGAACCCAGGTCACCGGGTTTATAGCACAACGCGCTAACCGCTACCCTATCGCTCCCAACATGAAGAACCAGTTGCATCTACAGAACGTGAAGAACCAGTGGCATCTACATCTGCAGAACATGAAGAACCAGTTGCATCTACATCTACAGAACGTGAAGAACCAGTTGCATCTACATCTGCAGAACATGAAGAACCAGTTGCATCTACAGAACGTGAAGAACCAGTGGCATCTACATCTGCAGAACATGAAGAACCAGTTGCATCTACATCTACAGAACGTGAAGAACCAGTGGCATCTACATCTGCAGAACGTGAAGAACCAGTGGCATCTACATCTGCAGAACGTGAAGAACCAGTGGCATCTACATCTGCAGAACGTGAAGAACCAGTGGCATCTACATCTGCAGAACGTGAAGAACCAGTGGCATCTACAGGTGATTATACAACTTGTAAAGCCATTCCCCGTGTTTTGTGTCGACGCCGCACAACGCGTTTGGAATCGACAGGGCTTGTAAAGTTGGACTCACGAACAGACCTCTGGAAACAGAACTCGTTCATAAGTCCCTGGATTGCATAGTCTGTGACGTCACGTTCGAGAAGAGGCGGGGGGCGGTACTTCGGCGGGGGCGGGGCGAGCTTTGTGGTGTGGGCGGGCCTCGTGAGAAGCAGGGTCACGCAGAGTAGTGAAACGGTCATCTGATGATGACCGTTTGTGTTATGGTCGAAACGTCGTGAGAATTTTTATTGTTTTATATAAATTTTATTGTTTCCCTTTAACGTGACTTTACCGAAAGAGCTAAGAATATGAATTACTGCAGTCACGAAAGCTTTAAATCAAAATTTGGGGGGCGGTACTTAAGAGAGGGGCGGGGCTCCTGAGGGGCGGGGCCACGTGGATGAGTGAGGTGGAGGGCGGGGCGTTACTTTAGAGAGGGGGCGGGGGGCCACGTGAGGGCGTTAAGTGGGGGTGGAGCGGTACTTTTTGAGTGGGGGCGTGGCCAAGTAAGGGGCGGGCCCAATTAAGGGCGGTACTTAAAATTGGGGGTGGGGGGGCAGGTCTATGTTAGGGGCGGGGCCACGCGGAGGAGTGAAGTGGAGGTGGGGGGCGGGTTTGAGGCCTTGGCTCGGGCGGCATCAGGGAGAGAGGCATCAGCATCAGCAGCAGGGACCGCATCAGCAGCAGGGACAGCATCAGTAGCAGCCGCAGCCGCCATGTCGTGCAGCCGCTCGCACACGGAGAGCCGGGCCATCCCCACGAGGAGGGTGCTGCTGAGCGACGCCTCGCAACTACCTCACGACTACTGCACCACGCCCGGCGGGACCTTCTTCTCCACCACGCCTGGGGGTGCGGCAGCGGCGGCGGCGGCACGCGTGGGCCCCTCCATCATCAACACCACCACCAGGAACACCACCATCATCAAGGGCCACTCTCATCCGCAGTAAACACTATCATCAGCAAGCACGCTATCACCATGCAGGCACACGCTCAGCAGTAAGACTGTCATCAGCACTATCACGATGGGTAGAGCTGCACATGGTCAGACGTTGCATCATGGTCGGCATCGGTCTCCTACTCTGGTTAATAGCACTGTCAGCAGTAGACTCCAGCTGTATCACCACCTCCAGCATCGTGACTGCTGTGACACCATGTCTTCATCACGATCATCAGCAGCAGCAGGATTCTCATTACATCATCAGCCTGCAGTAATATCACCATCGCCATCACCAATATAACGACCGCCATACGACCACCAGCAACACCATCGACATAAACATCACCACCATCATCACAGACATCACCACCATCACCGCCGTTATCCGCACCACCATCACCACCACGAGTGGACCGCCGTTCTTTAGTTGTAACACTGCTGTGGTTGTTGTTGTGTTGTTGCATGCGAATCTCGTGGGGTCGCCTCGCCTGGTCAGGGCTCGAACTTGGGGGGGGGTGGTGGTGGGGGTGGAATTGCGTCGCTTTGTTGAGGTTACTGGGCGGGAGAAGTGATCGCATCTTGTCGTGCCCCGGGGCCAGAGATGTAACCCAGAAAGACGCCTTTAACCGCAGGCACATGCCGAGCAACTCTCACTCGGGCCTTCCTTCACCCACGACGTTACAGCTTGTGGGGGCACGAGCCGAGCGAGATGGTTTTAACCGAGACGCGTCTTCGACCCGGAGAGAGAGAGAACTCCCTCGCCTGGGACGACACCACACACACACACGTGGTGGTCGTGGGTTCGATCCCGAGCCTGAAGACGCCTGCTGCTGTGTATTTGGAGTGTACGCTGTCTGTGTCTCTCTCTTCTCTCCCTTTTGACCGTCGTGGATTTCCTCCGTGTCCCCCCCCCCCCCACGGATTACCACCTCCACGTTTCGAATCGTTACGAGCACTTGGCCGGTGTAAATGTCCACGTGATGATACGCCACTTCGTTGAGGTTGTTATCTGTGGCCAGGTGGCTTCTGAAAAATAAAGAGCTGTATAGCAGCTAATTGAGCCTTGGTTAAATAAAAACATAGTTGTAAGACTTCAGAGTTGGTCTGCAGCCGATGGCCCCAGACTTATTTGGCAACGGGGTTCTGGATCGAACTGAGAAGCTTTGGATGAGGGGGGTTGGGGTTGGGCCAAGGAACACCGCCCCTGGGTATTTGCGTTCTGGGTTCAGACTCGGGACCCTTGGGTAAAACAAACACACGCCACCTTCTCTAGTATAATCGTAACTTTTGTAAAAAAAAATATACGTAACATTCTGCTTAAATGCGCTTTTGTGAGAAGTGTAGCGAGAGGAGGGCCACGTTTCGCACCAAATGTTATAACTGGCAGCAAGAACGAGGAGTTAGAAATTAAAGTTGAAAAACAAAGCGCCGTTGCATAACGCGTGCGGGGGAGGGGAGCCGCCTCGTGGTGCTGCTGCTGATGCTTCCACGCTGCTGCTGCCGATGCTTCCACGCTGCTGCCGCCGCTTCATACATCAGTGCCGCTGATGATTCTGACGCAGTGGGGAGGCGAACTGCCCTCGTGCTTTTGCGGTGTTACGCTGCTTCTGCTTCCAATCGTTGTGCCGCTGTTAATTATTCAGCCCTTGCTGTTTGCTTCTAGGGATGTTTTTTTTAATGCATCTCTCGACTTAAGCGATTGCTTAAACTTGTACTGATATTCGGCTGCTTCCTTGCTTCAGCCACTGCGTATTTGTTTCGGGTTATTCTCCCGACAGCTGCTACCTCCTTGTTTCAGCCTCTGCTTCTTGCTTGCTTCTCTCTTCAAATCCTGTTTTTTGCCTTGCTTCAGCCTCTGCTCCATCCTAGCTGCTGCCCCTGCTTCTTACATGCTTCAGCCTCTGCTCCTCCCTTGCTGCCACTGCTTCTACCTTGCTACTCCCTTGCTTCAGCCTCTGCGTTGCTTCAGCCTCTGCTTCGGCCTCTGCTTCTCACTTGCTTCTCCCTCTGCCCCTTCCTTGCTGCTGCCCCTTGCTTTGGCCTCTGCCCCTGCTTCTCCCGTCAGCTGTCAAGGAAGCACGCGTCAGTCACCACGTGTTTACGTTTTGTGGAGCGCATTGGCGTGCCTGCCGTTCGTGGCGCCCCATTGGCTGCTGACACGCCACGTGAACTTCCATGGGTTCATTGCGATTGGCTCGGGCGGCACGCCCCCCCCACCACCACCCCGCCCCCTTTACGCACTGTCCCACGTGACGGGGTGACGTCAGCACGTGTCCCCAGCACGAGCACGTGTCCACTGTACTTGTATTTGTCCAGTATCTGTAGGTCCATGTTCGTGTTTTAATTGTGGTAGAGCACTGCACGTACAGCCCTTTGTCAGTCCACTGCTGGATGAAGGCCTCCCCACGCAGTGTCAGTCATGGGGGATGCCTTGTTTATTTGAGTTCTTTCAACTCGAAAGTCCCTTGAGATGGAATATCTTGGTTTTAGCAAGGGTTTCCAGGGTGTCGGCTGACTTAGCAAACACGTATACACAACGTTTAAATAACTTATAAGTATACATGTATGCAATGAAGCGTACTTAACCGTACTTTCCAACACGCTGGATGCAAAGGTCAGGTTCAGACATCGCTCACGACTGAAGTTATTCGTGGCCTGGAATCTAACTCGGATTTATAGTTCAGAGCGCTAACCACTGCCACCGCTCCACCCCACTCGCCGACATGGCAATGGCCTTGATATTACTGGGCGTGTGTCACATTGAACTGCTTTAAAAAAATCCAACTTTCGTCTTCATCCAGCAGTGGATGTGAAGAGGGAAGCCATATTGTGTAGATGTACAGCCCGTCTTGTCAGTCAACTGCTGGATGAAGGACTCCTTGCGGGCCTTGACGAATATTTTGCCATACTTCACCACCCTGGTCGGTGCGGGTGGGTGAAGGTAGGGGCAGTGCAAAGTGATTGTGATTGTTTTGAGCAGGCAGTAAAGGCACCCATGGCTGCTGCTAAACTTAGAGAGGCTGAACTTGCCATTTGAGTTATCTCTAAGACACACGCGAACGTGAATTACAGTTGACACGTAAACAACTCTTGCGTTGACACGAAGTGGTGCGGCTGTAACAGAATAAGCATCAGGGGAGCTTCTGCAGCCAGCAGCACAACAGTCGTCTCAAATTTCATCGGCTGTCTCTGACCCCGACAGTTCAAGTACAACTCTGGGGAGGGGGTGGTGTCTAATGTTTGTTTTTCTTGGTACTTTAGCCACCTGTGCGAGCTGGCTCGGCCCAGAGGCTGTTGCAATCGTACGGTTTATTGATGTTTACAAGGTAAGGGGCCCATCCATTTAGTACGGAACGCATGGAGGGGGGGGGGGGGTTAACCCAAATGCGTGCGCTTGAGTATGGGGGGTCTTACTGACTGCGTACGCATAGGAAACGGGGTGGGCGGGGTGAAGCCTCGATAATAATGCAGCCGGCGGCGGACTGTTTGCTTAAACACATTATTATTATTCAGGGATAGTTTATGCGTGGATTAAATATCGGCCGTTCTATAGGATGTGGGGGGGGGTGTAAAAAGTCCGCGTGCGTACAGGGAGGTGGGGGGGGGTCAAGTTTTGACAGATGCGTACTAACTGGATAGCCCCTAAGGAGTGTGGCGTGGCGTCAGGGATAACACACGTGATGCCCCCCGAGCAAGATGAAGCCGAGTTCAGTTCCTGACTCGGCAACTGTTTTGCAGTGGAGTTTGTGCGTTCTGCCGCTGTTTTGGCCATCGGCTTTTTCCGCGTTCTCCACAGATTCTTCCCATAGCTAACAAAAAATAAGGACGCAAATTTGAGCTGCGATATGGGTTTCCTGGGTAGATAATGCGTAAAATAAGTAATACGTAAGATGTGGGTGGCGGGAAGCGTTTAAATTCTGTTTACGTATGTGGATTTGAGCTTGATAGGTTGATGTGGACTGATCGCTCGGGACAATTATAACGCGATCATGTGGACAGAGGCTGCTGGCAATTCCACTGCTGATAAAACGGTTGCGACAGAAGGGAGCGAGCAGTCAACATGGGCTATCTGTGGCAATCGGCATCGTGTGATCGATGATTGGTTGGCAGATGGGCAGCCTGTGTGTTTTCGAGTGGTCACGTTTGTGCAAGGTGGAAAACGAAGCACCCAGTGGCCTACCTCGTTGCGCTGCGATCGAATTCGCCGTAAGGCAGTCGACTTTGTTAATGATCCAGCGCTTCGCTCATTGAATCCACTCGCTCACCTGCGGTCAGTCGCCTCATCACTGTTTTTTCGCTACGACCATGGTTTCTCTTCCTGTGATCTTCGCAATTGATTCCTCCTCCACCCGTGTCGAGGACGCGGTCTCCGCTCGACGCTGTTTCATCTTTCATCGCCGTTGTGTTCACTCGCCACACTGCAGGTCAAAACGCCTCTCTTTCTGCCTCTTCCCTCGCACTGCTCCACTTTGGAAATTCCCTCCCATCTATTTTCCCTCTTGTAACCTTGCACATTTCAAGAAACCTGTTAACCCTTATCTACAGCTTTAATAGTGCTGATTGTTGCTGGCCATTGTAACATATGGTGCACTGCCGGCCACTTTGCGACTGGTTACGCGCAATTATCATTTGTACATTTGGAATTTGTTCCATACTTATAGCGCAAGCATCGTGGGGGCGCTGAGCTCTACGGACTGCAGTATGTTTGCAGTGTTGGCCAATGTTGCCATGTGCTGTGGAATTGTTTCGACTTTTGGTAAATGTGTATCGTCATGTGACGTCACGCGATCTTTAGCGTTCACCGCCAAACAGACGGCGTGTCGTTTTCGACGGTGCAGTCATAACTAAGGCGGCCTACCGGATTCAAACCGCGATCCTCTGCGATAAGCGGCCAATGTGATACCGCCGGGCTGTGCCAACCGTTCGCCACTGTTACGTAACGCGCAAATGTCTCAGCAAGCCATCCCACTGACGTCATTTAATGTTGTTATTCTCCTGGCAGTGGCGGCCTCATTGGGGGGACGCAGGCCAGACCCGAGGTGCGAAGGAGCCAGGACGCCTAGGGGCCCGGTGTTTATTCCAGAAGTTGATCTCGTAGAGTGAACTAAATAAATAAGCTTAAGTTATCCATTACTAGGGTTGTTAAGAATGGTTTTTAACGTTGCTGGTAACTGACGGAAAAGAACCAGTTAAAACGGTTACTGATTTACCTAGTGTATAAAAACTAATTTTGAGCAATAAACACAACGTTAACCTTTTTTTTAATCGAGAAACGAAGGAAGCTGCCGTGTTGTAATGGTTAGTACACTGAATTTGAAACCAGACTCACTTTAGTGGAGGCCATGCCACCGGCAGTGGAGTGAGCAAGGAATTGCAAGGCTGTGCCTTTACCCCGTAACTGAGAAACGAGGACAAATGTACCCTGCGGTTTGTACACTATGTGCGTGTGCCAATCGGTGTTTTGACGAAAATTCACTCGAAAACAACCACCGGTTTCTGACTTTTGTAACCGGTTATCAACTGTGGTCAACAACAATAACCGGGGAACCGTTAACGGCCTCACTCATTACCCATCCCTGAACTCTTGTGTACTCTCACGATCATTGCAGTGTGAAAGTACGTTGTGTGTGTGTATGTGGTAGTCCCATGAATCACGTTTGTGTCTCATGGTCTCTGGATCCTTGCCTTGACTTGGTCCAGCATGTAAACATCAGCACTCGAGAGACAGAAGTGGCTGACCGCGGTTCTGACCCCGATGTACCCAATCGTGCAGTTCCAGCCTTCGTAGAAACTTGCAATGGAAATTGCACATGAGGTCACAAGGTTAACCGTTGGATCTTTGTTGTTCATTAATACGTAACCCGCTGTACAAGGGTCTGTTCACATGGCCTCAGAGTGCACTTGGTCTATCACAGGCGTCATGGGTGACATTGACATTTGGCATTGAACAGTGGCTGCTGTTGCGTGCGTGATGCTGACCAAACCACTGCTTAATCGAAGCGAGTGCGTGCGTACGAACGCTCACAAAGAAAAGAGCAGTGACAGTGGTTAGTGCAGTGCGCTATTAATCCGGTCACCAAGTTGGATTCACGGCAGAGGCTAACATCAGAGGAAATTATTCGAGTCAATCCTGGGGCTATCCTATTTTGCCTCTGCCTTTCAATGGGTGCTCTGATGTCACGTGTTAACATCGGCACTGGGGGAGGCTGTGAACACCCACCACCCTCGCGCGAAGTGCCGGCCTCAAGAGGTGCTCGCTAACATCACACTTGCCACAGCTGTCTGTACGACTGGAAGTGGTGGTCGGGTGGGGGGGTCTCGTCTCGGCTCCACGACTGCGGCGTTGTCGCCTCTCTGTGTTCCTCGGTTGTCCTGTTGCGCAACGTGTCGCTCGGCCCGTTTCTTGTTTGTTTTTATTGGAAAGCTGTTGAGGTTTGTCGCTTGAAAGAGGGACGCTCAACGAAAAACTGAAATCTGCAGACCTCGCTCCACCCCTCCCACAAAAACAACCCGCCACTCCCACTGACTTCGCGCTGGCAACAAAATGTGCGGCGTCGTTTCCTGTTGCCGCACCCCACGAGGGTATTGGTCGGGCGATTTGAGTATCGGTGCGGTGCGTCACGCTGGCGGCATGTCCTGGCACGTGCCGTCCGTCCGTGCGGTGGCCTCTGGGTTCTCGCCGGCGTTGGGGGGATGGGCGATGGGGACCGCACGAGACGATAACTGGCCTTTTTCTGGTCTGCCCAGGCTTTCGTTCCCTTATCCACCGACTCTGTTCACGGATACAGGCGGCGATGGGCGGTGTACTAGGCCTATGGAGAGACTGTGCTCCCCTTTGTGGATTGTGGAATTTCCACAGTTGGCGGGGGGGTGGGCAGTGGGAATGAGCATTGGGGCACGGCCACTTGAGCAGATGCTGTTTCGTTTCGCGTCTCGCACATGAAACCGTGTCAGAGTTCGATGTGTGATTTCATTGTAACCTAAATATAAAATACGACTAGAGCTTAGCATTCACCCAGCGAACAATGTCGGAGTTGTTGATTTACCAGATTTTAATGGAATGATCATCATTACCCGTGACCAAATCCCCTTAGCCGCGCCCAATCACGTTGTCTCTCGGAAGCATTGTTGATCCTGCTTAGCACTTGGATGGGTGACCACCTTTGGCGCTTGCCAGGCGTTGTAGATGTACAGCTGTGAGCTGTGGGCCTGGAGTGTCTCCTCTTCGTATGCAGCGTCTGCTGGGTATTCTCTGGGTTATCTGCCTTTTTTTGGTCCCATGGCTTAAAATAACTCCTATGTAACTGGTATTGGCCAATCATCCCATTGCTGCACAACTCAGTTGGGATTGGACATGGCAACATCAGTCCCTTCTGCGAATATTGGCAGGACTCTTCAGTCAGGCTTTCCTTTGTAAAACAAGGGGGGTAATAACAAAGATTTAAAAACAATTGCATCCACGAGCTAGACAGCAGAACCGGTGAACACCTACGAAGCGATGGGTTAACAATAATTCACATTTAGTTTTGATGCATTTGCATCCGTAGATGGCAATGCACCTCTCGCCCCCTGGCTTGCGCGATGGCACCCCACGCAGCGTGAACCCTGTTTACTACGAGCGTGCGCCCGGCGGTATGTCACGTGCGTAGCCTGTCCCTATCGGCTCGCCATAAGAAAATAACAGACACTTTAGGCTCTCGTGGGAAGATAACAAACACAAGTTTTGCAAGAAGCGTTTGACAAAAAGCAGCGGCGGCGGCGGAACCATTACAAGTCCTGTTCTGCCTGTTTTGCTTGCAGAAGGCTTGGGAGTGACAACTCGCACTTTGTGGTGGCCTGTGTACAGTGTTGGATCGGAACGCCATGTGCTCACCCACTCTCTCGCCCGCCCGCCCGCCCGGCCCGAGCTGGCTTTGCAAACAAACGCGATGAGGAGGAGGAGGCGGCGGCACTGCGAGTGTTGTTGGGGCGACCTTGTGTGCTCCCTGCTCTGGCACGCAGCGCTCGAGCCATTTGGCCTGGTCACGTGTCGCATTTTTCTACAAATTGTCCAATGCCTCCGCTCGTCCCCCCCACCCGCCTCAGCTCTGGCTCTGCCTGCATCATGCAGGGGGGGGGGGGGCATTTCTTGAATAGCACGTGTTTTGTTGTTAGGGGGCGCCTCTGCCATGCAGCTCATGACTGCAGTAGCTGATTGAGTAAAACAAATCTGCGAGGAGACGATGCTTTGGGATTGGGGTGTGGTCTGGCAGGGTGAGCACCTTTCTGAGTTGAGTTTGCAAGTTTTCTCCATATGATCTGCATGGGTTTTCTCTGGCTCCTCCAATTTCCTCCCAGAGCCAAAAACAATTACAACACACGTCATTGGTATTGGGCAAACATTTCTCCTGTGTAGCAGGACCCTCCTGAAAATAAGTATGGTTGGCTTTCCCGAGTAAATAAATAGTTGTTATTGTTTATAATGAACGACCGCGTGGTGCAAGAGGTCTGTATTTTATTTGGAGGCGTTTTGTATTTATTTTGCTGCTCTTCAAGCTCAGGGAAATGCACAAGTGATGCATTGTGTACCCCCGAAACGACTGCCAAGCCGTTTTCGTAAAGAGCCGTTGGATATACTCGCGCTGTGGTGCGGCGGGATTGGTGGCTCGATGGTTGACGCACGGTGCTGCGAACCCAGCAACCGGCGTTCGATTCCCCACCCTGCACGCCTACCATCTCAAACCACTCCCGGGAACCCCCCCCCCCCCCCCCCCCCCACTTCTGCATCCTTCGCTGACCAGCTTGGGTGATGTATGATCAAACAACCCCCACATGATGACTCGCTGTGTGGGGAGGGGCATTCATCCAGCAGTGTTGTCGATGGGCTGCAAGCCATCATCGCATTGAAAGTTGTATTTAAATCATTATACATTTTTCAAAAATGTTGACAAATGACTCTTGGGAAATAAAAAAAATCGCCGTCCCTTACTGTGCGAACTCGGTGACGGCTGAACACGTGTGCCACCCCGCTCCGTGCTCACAGGCACCCGCATCATCTACGACCGCAAGTTTCTGATGGAGTGCCGCAACTCGCCGCTGGCGCGCACGCCGCCGCCGCTGCTGCCGCACATCCCCGGCGTGACCAACCCCCGGAAGAGCTCCCCCACCGCCGCGGCCAACGCCGCGGCCAACGCCGCGGCCGTCGCCGCGGCCGCCTCGCCCAACACGGGCGGGCAGCAGGCGGCCACTCCGACCGCATCGCCCACCAAGGCGGTGGCGGAGAACAAGGCGGAGAACAACGTGGCCAACCACACCGACAAGCCAGGTCGGCACCACGTCTGCACGTGCCGCTGTGTCCGTCCGTGTGCGTGCGTGCGTCAGTTTGCGAGCGGTGTGCTTGCGCGGGCGTGTGTGCGTCATTTTGTGTTTTGCGTGCGTGCGGGTGCGTGCGTCATTTTGTGTTTTTGACAATTATCTGAACTGGTCCTGGGCCTCTCCTAGGTCGTCTCGGCCTCAAATGATTACCTGGTGCAGTGTGTAAATATCGCCACTGGGGAGACAAAGGAGTTCAGTCGTGGTGCTGGCCACCCCACCCCTTCGCGTGCCAAAGGGGTGCTCGCTAACAGCACTTGCCCCAACAGTCTGTTAAGGCTATATGGGGGATCTTTGTTTTTGAACACGTTTGAGGGAGTTATGGTGTAGTGGTTGGCGCTCTGCGCTATGAGCCCAGCGACCTGAGTTTGAGTCCCAGCCACAGCTAATATCAGTACCAAATATCTCGACAAATCGGCATAAAAAATGAGTGCGTGGTGCAATATGTAAACATCAGGCCTCGGGAGACAAAGGTGTCTGGGTGTGGTCATGACCATCACCCCCTAATTTGCTCTGCTGCCCTGAATCGGTGCTCAATAACAGCACTTACCAAATCTCTGTGGCTATGGGAGACGTTTGGCCTGCTTTGTGCAATTTAATAGTGTACCTAGCCTGGCGCAACCGCCGCGGTAACGCCACAGACGCTTCCTGATGAATGGCGACGGCTCTCGTTGTCTGTGTGTCTAGTTCTGGTTACACAACTCCTTTGTGTGCAGTGCCTGCCTCAAAAGGTGCTCGCTAAGCATCATTTGGGCCTGCAGCGTGATTTGGCTGAGTGGCGGTGTTTGCACGTGGACGTGTGTGTGTGAGGTGGGGGAGAGCTGTCTCGTCGCTGTGTACTGTGCTCTAGTCCTCTAGACCCAGGTTCGATTCCCGGCTGTGATTCGCAACGTTTCATCACCGTTGTGCCATCGGCATCGCCGTCATGAGGCCCAACGTCCCCGTGCAGAAGCGGATACTGCAGAGTTAGTTCTGAAATTCTTTCAACCGACTTTCCTATGGGGGCAGCCTTTTCCCACCCGCTCTTGTCACAGAGGACTACGTTCATCCACGGGACCGATATTCAAAACCGATATTTTTTTTAATTCTCAGAGCTCCACTTTGGCCAAGTTAAGTGCAGAACCGAATTTCACGTTGTGGGTGACCCAGGCTGAGAACATCGCCCCACAACACTTGTAAACCCCGCGTTAATCGCCAGCGGCTGAAACCTGTATTATAACCCAGGATCACAGTTAGTCCTAGCTCAGTGCTCTGGCCTCTTGAGCCATACGTCCATCTGTAAACAAAACTCAAAACTGGCTCTGCCTGATGGGGGGGAGGCCAAGAATTCATTATTTGTCTGAGCCGTTGTTTTTGATTTTTGGGGTTGCTGCCAGTGTCGTTTGTGCTGCCACGTGCTTGTCTCTGTTCCGCTTGCCGCTTGCATCACCGGTGTCCGGGGCTTCTGCCCCTGCTTCTCTCGAGGAAGTGGGCTCTGTGTGTGTGTGTGTCTTTGTTTTTGTGGGTGGGTGCGTATCGGATTTGTTTGTGCGCTGCGGGCAGCGGTGACTCTGTGGTCAGCACACCGTTACGAACCTGGTGACCTGAGTACGATTCCACCTCCTGGCCAACACCAGTCGGTCCTGGGCCTCCCCTAGGTCGACTCGGCCTCAAATTAGTATCTTGTGCAGTGTGTAAACATCGACACTCGGGAGACAAAGGTGGCCGGGTGTGGTGCTGTCCACCCACACTCGTGCTCTGTGCCGGCCTTCGCAGGTGCTCGCCAACAGCACTTGCCCCAACAGTCCGTTAAGGTTATACGTGGATATCTTTGTGTGTGTGAGAGCACCGACGGCTGTGTTTGTGCTGTGCTTGCCGGGCCACACCCTGGCGCACTGTGACTGACGCGGGTCGTCTCTTTCTGTGTTCTGTGTTTGCATTCCGACATGCAGGGGAGGATGCTCAATTCGAGATGGACATCTAAATGGATGTCTAAATGAAGATCCCAGCTGTTCCACTCTACAGTTTCCACCGTGCTCATCTGGCTTGCACCCCATTTCAGTCGCCCCCGTGCAGGGCGAACCGATGTTTTGTGTTCTAAGAAAAAAAAAATCATGAAAAGTTGGCATTAAAACGGACACGTTATTATAGTACTTTAGAAAGCATGCTACTACTCCTGCGCTTATATTGTTGCCTTAAGGTAATCATGTCTGCTGTCTTTTTTTAACTTAGTTTATTCAACGGAGCAGACTATTAAAGTCTACTTTTTAATTTGAACCCAAAGTTTAAAGACAACTTGGCTTCAAAAGGAAATGTGGCCATGGTGCCGTGTCGGTTCTGGCGTGTAACGGTGCCATCGTAAGTTTGGACTTGGATTAATTTTTTTGTTCTAAAAAATGTGTCGCTCAATCATGGCAATTTTTTTTATTGTTATACAAAACGACCTCCATGGAAATGGACTTGGCGAAATGTACGATTGCGAAACTTTTCCGTAGTTGATATGAGCGTGTGTCCTTGGCTAACGTCCGTGCGGAGTCTCTCGCGTGCTCGCTTTAACCATTTCCTATCAAAAGCATGACGATCGACTCGCAAACAAACTAAAGCCGGAACGATTCTTTATCGAAGTTTTTAAAAGGAGTGCATTTCAGAAACGAACTCCCCTTTTTGAAGGCGTTAACTTGACGGTAAATATTTTTTTTGGTCGCCAAGTCCCAAGATTTAGTACACCTGAGGCGTGACTTGGGGGTGGAGCTGTTCTCTTGCAAGCTCCTCGCATCGCAGTAGCCGTCGTGCGGTGGGGAGGAGGAGGATTCTGTGCCTCGTTGAGACTCCCAGCCCGGCAGTCCGGCATCTTCCACAAAGCCTTTCTGAAAGGTCAGTTACTGTGCCTCGATGCAGGACTCCCTTTGGAACGTCCTTGTTTTGCATTTGGTTCCTGCACTCGTTCCGCCTTGATTTAAGCCCTGCAGGAACGAGCCTCTCTTTCCCCCCCTCCCCCCCCCGTGTCTTTGCAATGATCGGCGGCGTGGAATTGAGGACATTTGAAGCCACCTGCCTCCCAACCAGCATGGAGAAGTGCGCGCGAGCGTGCGCGCTCACAGAAGTTTATATCGATATTGTGGATTTTTTTTACAGTTCAGTCATTTAATGTCATTGCAAATGGAGGTGCTAAATGATTTGTATTTTTTTTATCTCGAAACCCCAGAACTTGGCTCTTACCGAGAGGTGCCGCGTGCCTTCACGCCCAATGCAAATTAAAACAAACAAAAATCGTGGCGCATTAAGGCAACACGGGCTCGCGAAATCTTTGGTTGAACTAAATCCAACCCAGGTCAGGTGCCATTGACGCGAGTTAAATTTAATTACCTGGTCATATTTCTCAGCCTCTTGTGACCAGTGGCCAATGGGGGACTAATCCTGTACTCTGTGCCATCTTGGCCGCAGGGTATCGTGGATTCTCCCGTTACTTGCGGCGTGAATATTTTTAAACGGAGGTTTCATTTCTGTCCACGCGCATCTGCGAAGTTGCATGCTCGCGAATGGCGAGTGGACGGGCCTCGCCGTCCTGCCGGTGGCAGTGGTGGCGGCGTCGAGACGCCCCCCCCCCCCCCCCCCCCCCCCCCGGGGACCCCTCTGCGTCAGGTGAGTCCGCCGGCCTCTCCCGCGTTGTGTTCCTCCCGAGCGCCGGGCGGGGGGGGGGGGAGGGGGGTCCTCGTGCGGTGCGTTGCCAAACCATCCGCGGGACGGCGTGCTGCGCTGTGCCCCGACCTACGTAGATGAGTTGCATGGAGGAAACCAAAAACCGTCGTCTTTGCCAAGTCGACGGCGGCGCTGGCGACCTTGACCTTTGCCACTCCGACGGGAAGGGCGGTGGGTCTGCCGCACAGGTCGAAGGGCACGTGGTGTGCGGCGGTGGCTCGTGCCCCTCGCCACGATGAGGAGGGGTTGCTGTCGTGCAAAATGCACTCCCTTACATTTTTTTTGGAAGCAGCAATTTTTTTCTTGACTATTAAAAAGTTAATGACTTTTTTTAAAAAAGCGGTGCGTGCCAAAACGGCCCGGAAGGGTTGCGAGTCTGCGTGGAATTTCTCAAGATTCGGAACGCGTGCACCTGCAGCTTGCTGTATGGGGGGGGGGGAAAAAGTGTTGGCTCTCTTCGGCTTAAACCGCAGCGACGCTCCCCGCTCCTCCCCTCGGTTCTTGGCTTTTGTTTTGGACTTCTCTCCGGAAAGGGATGAGATGAGGGCGAGGGACAGATTTATTTTTGTTCCGTGGAGCCCGTAGGGGTGGGGTGGGGGGAGTGTGTGGGTGGCAACAAAGGCCCTTGTTCATACTGTGATTGTGTTTGACGACCAGCCGGAGTCGCGTGCGAGAAGTTGAAATTGTGCTTGCGTTGAGATGAATGGGATGTGTACAGTTCACATTTCTGAAATTAAAGGTTACAACAAAAAGGTGAACGGCAGCACCACTCGGCGTTGGAGCGTTTTGTGCGTCGTGGCTTCCCGTGAACTTCCCTCGTTTATTTGGTGCCCCCCTCCATCCGTGTTGAAGACTCGGTCGAGACCACACACACCGGCCGTCTCAACCACCACCACCACACTGCATGGCACAACAAACATCCACTCGCCACACTTCAACCACCACCCACTTGCAGGTCACAACACACATTGCTCAAACACTCGCTCACCACACTGGATTCAACCACCACCACACTGCAGGTCACAACACACATTGCTCAAACACTCGCTCACCACACTGGATTCAACCACTCGCCACACTGCAGGTCACAACAACGCACAACCACTCGCCACACAACCACCACACTGCAGGGTCACAACGCACATCCACTCGCCACACTGCAGGTCACAACAACGCACATCCACTCGCCACACTGCAGGTCACAACAACGCACATCCACTCGCCACACTGCAGGTCACAACAATGCACATCCACTCACCACATTATGCTCAACCTCCACTGACCGTTATCCTCTCTTCCCCGAGCTCTTAGGACAATGGCTGAAGTCGAGAAAGTCGATAGCGTCTTTCTCTATGTTTATTTAGCGCCTGTTGATTGTGAACTTGTACAAATATAGCGAGACACTCGGAATAGGAGGCACCCTATTATAGCCTTCGCAGGGTACAAGGGGTAACTACACCGCAGTGAGGACGGCTAACAGACTGCCTGACTGCCGACGCCGAGAAGGTGACGAAGACTCCAGCAGTCCGACGGGATTCTACTCCAAACAACAGCCGAGATGCTCGCAGGCGACTGATGAAGATCGTCTGTGGCAGTCTCGAAGTGGTGGGCCTCGTGTGGCCACGTTTCACGTGAAATTAAGTTGCGGGCCGCGTCCAGAATGTGGCCAACAGCTCCGCCGGGGCCTAGAACATCGGGTGTTTGGTGGTGGTGGTGGTCGGGGCGGCGGTGGTCGCCGTGTGGTTGGAGGGGCACGGCACGGCGAACACGGCCGACACGAGGGCCTGGTAGACGGCGGCCAGGCCCACGGACACGAGCAGCCACACCTTGCCCTCGTCCTGCGGCCACACGCACGGCACACCGATTCATTTTGGTTCCCATACGCGACTGTTCGGATCACGTGGTTGACAGTCATTGTGGTAGTTCGGGCAGGTAGGTGGGGGGGTCACGCCTTGGTTCCCCGACGTGTGCCGCTGGACGGGAGGTGATGGGCGGGTCTTTTGTGGGGGTCATTGGCAAAAATATCCAGACGCGTCCTTGAAGAGCGGGAAATCCAACATCCGAAATGTTGGAATCCAAAACGCGCTCCTACTCGGTAAGGTGATCATTTCAATTGTGTTGCGGTAGGGGACGATTTGTGCCGTGTGTAATCCTAGCCGAGTAATGTTTATATTACAATTTAAGGGATCTCGGAGGTACTGCGATATCTTCTGCAGGCCGTTCACCACACGGGGCGATGCGCCACTCAGATGTGTTGCCCCGTGGTGTGACACCACCGGTCACGCGAGTGGCTTTTGTTACCGGAAGACTCACCAGCACGCCGCTCTTGTACCACCAGAGCTGCAACGACAAGACGCGCACAGGGCCACTCGCACAAACTCGTGGAACTGTGTTCTCTGAATGTGCTACAAAGACAAATATCCCCGTGTAGCCTTAACAGACTGTAGGGGCAAGTTCTGTCAGCGAGCACCTATGAAGGCCGGCACGGCACACGATGAGGTGGGTTGCCAGAACCACGCCCGGCCGCCTTTGTCTCCCCAGTGGTGATGCTTACACATCGCAACTGGTACTCATTTGAGGCTGAGTCGACCTAGGGGAGGCATAGGACCGTTTCGGTTAATCGTCACCGATGTTGGCCGTGAGCGGGAATCGTACTCAGGCCGCTGGATTCGCAGCGCGCTAACCGCTCCACCACCGCTCCCCTAGACCCCCACCATCCCCGCACTGACCGGCGTGGAGAAGTATGGTCACATACACTCTCGCGAACCTTGATATTCGCGCAAATTATTTGGTGACATTAACGATAATAATCGAACTCATGATGAAGCCCGTGCCGAGAATCTTTCTTGGTCTCCTGCCGCACAACAGTAGGAACCAGGAAGAAATATCACGCATACACGTGGCTTCTGCGTAGTGGTCTAGCGGTGATGCTGATGCTGCATTGTCCCTGGTGCACAAATAAACAAACGCTCAACACATTGCGCAATAACACTGTGGCCTTAACAAGGGGAAATATATAATTTGTGACGTTTCGGGCAATGGCCTTTCGTTTACGTGTTATAATATAATTTTATATTTTAAAAAGCAATGTAAATTGGGGGTGGGAAAAAAAATCCATTAATATAATTAACATTACAAGCTGAAAAAACTGGCGAAATTTGGTCTTCATGGGAAGTAATGGGATCTTATAAAGATAATGGATAGACCGGGGTACACCCCTATTTATTTCGAGGACACGTGCTGTACTGGTCGGTGGAACATCCGTCATGCCCTCGGCACACAGACGCAACCAGGGCTAGTGTGGGGAGATAGTGCGGGGAGAGCGTGACCCTTCAGCTCGTGGTGAGCCCCACGGCCGCAGCACTCACCATGAAGAGCCACACCGAGCCGCTCACTGCAACAGACGGAGACACAAACAGCGCGTCGCGTCACTGCCCTGCAAATTGCGTTTCGCCAGGCGCGGTTCGTCCACTAGGGAGCGATGGGGCGCCGCCCCACCAAATACTTTTCTATAAATTGTTTTGTCGTGTTTACATTTTTTTTAAACAATGATTCTTTCAACGTGAATTGCCCAATGAAGGTAACATTTGAAGTTGTTTCTATTAGAAACCGCTGCAACACCGCAGTCTGATTTGTCTCTGGGTGGCTGTGAAGGCATGCGAGTGAGAGAGATGTCCCCCTTCAGTCACTGCCATCAGCTTTTCGCATTGTCGCCACGCCGCTTGAGACCCAATCAAGGCGGTGAAGAAGTCGCCCGTGGCTGTAATGGTTGCGCTGTTCGAACATCGCAGGTCACGGCCTACAGGTGGATGTCCGCCGGCGTGTGGCTGTTGTTGTACAGTATGCGGTGTCTTGATTGCCGTGGATAATTTGTTGAGCCGTGTCAGCTTGATCTGTAATTGTTCTTTCAGCTTTTGGCAGTGCCAAAGGGGTTATGTAGTGTGGACCTGAGGGTCATGTGGCCAGCATTTGATTGCTTTGTTCTTCTGTCGTATTGTTTATAAATGCCTCACCGTTGGTAGCTAAGGCAGCTGTGTCACTTTCACGGGAAGGCCAACAACACCACGAGGTTTTCCTTCATTACGACGCTCTCTCTTGTCAGAGGTCACTCGCAACAGCCCCACCTGGTGGAGCCGCCACGAGCCGTCACTGCATTTCACTTCGTGTACGCATGAACACAGCAGTCGCCCCCCGTACCGTATGAACGTGTCCTGCAACTTAGCCGTGTTATTGTGTCGATGAGCAGTCTAAAAAGAATCTGCCCGAGCCGACTCGCGACGCAGGGAATTCATCATGAGACACTGATTTGGGTTGGATCGCGTAAATGTATAAATGTGTCGTTAAAACCCGCCACCACCCGACACAGCCAACTAGTAAGGGTTGTCACGTGAACAGAACGTGGCCAATTCGTCGATAGTACAGCACTAACCGGTGTGTTGGAGAGCCAAGCCACAACATTTACAATCTAAGTACGACGTTTCGCCAGTAATTGCAACTAGCTTCATCAGGCGTAGATGTGGTGACCACGCTTCTGCCCTCTTGCAGAAAGTGTATTGCGGGGGGGGGGGGGATTACTGAGTCAACATAAATTGTGCATGCGCATTATGCGAGCCCTTTGAATTGATTTGTGTCCGTGCGACATTGTCATGCCCCCAAACTTAACATCTCTTAATGTTCGACGGCTTGTGCACCAGATCTTATTTATTGACGATGTACTTACAAACAAAATCCGCAGACTACCTGCTGGATCTCCTCTCTGTTTCAAAGAACAAATTTGACCTCAGGTCTTCGCTCATTTACCAGCTTCACATTCCCTATTGCCGTACAAAAACCGGAGGAAGGGCCTTTGCTATTGATGCCCCCAGGGTCTGGAATGCTATTGCCAATAAACTGCAACTTGAATCGCGACCAATGCGATCTTCTCTCAAAACTGCTCTAGAGGAGTTGTACACCCCTAGCTGTCACTGCTATTCAGTGGCCTAAAATAAGATAAAATGTTTAGCTCCGGATGACCGCTGCAAAGTATTAACTGTATTTTGAGTGTGTGCTGATCTTAAAGGTACATTGAAAAATGTGATACTCCGACTGATGCTCCTGTTGTTGTTGAGTGATTCATGCAGCCAGCTATATATGGCTCTAGGGTTTGGTGTTACATGTTATTTATGTAGTTTATTGTAAAAAATCGGTCACAGTCCCTATGATCACTGTTACATTGCATTTATGGCTTTATTTTGGTGATTTCTAAAAGTTTTTTGGTTTGGCCATGTTTTTGTTTATTGTAGTACGGAGTTAGACTGATGGCCTTAATCTTATTTGTCTTGTGGTTGTTGTTGTTTGACTTGCATCCCACTGGGATTTTCGCACACAGCGTTGGTGTACGGTGCTATTTCAGGAATATTTTGATGTTTTTTTTCCTGGATTTTCTATTTGCATAGTGACATAGTCACTTTAGGATGTTTTCTTGTTCGTGTTTTTGTTTTTTGTTTGTTGTGGTTGCACCCGATTCAAGAGCCGAATGGCTCACAGGGCTATACCAAAATAAATGAAACTAAACTAAAAACTAAAAACCCACGCGGCGACGCAGTTTGTTCACGCGGCGACGCAGTTTGTTCACGCTCTGTGGTCGTCTATTCCAGCCCTACTCACGTGCCACGCTGACGGCCAGCAGGGCCATTTCGGGCTGCCGCACCAGCGTCGTTGTGGCTGCCCCGCACACGATCGTGGACACCTGCGGCGAGGCGGGGGGGGAGACGAGGGGGGGGGCAT